AATGAGGCCAGGATTTCTACATGGACACAATAATCTGTTAGTTTTGCCTGCTGAGGACAAGATACTTGGGCGTCACATTGCAAAGCCATAAGAGCTGCTCCACAGCACTGTAGTCCCTCGCTGGATGGGGTGATTTTCTTACAGCCATGTCTCTTTCTCCATGCTTCTCTTCAAGTCATTGACCCTGAGATTTAGGCTAATAGAAACTGGCTTCCTCTCACATAAAATAAACAGCTCCGGTAATGATCTCCCAGCTCTTTGATGATTTCAGTATTTTTCTACCTCTAACCAAAATCTCTGGTTCGTACAGTAGGATGAAAAAGTCCCATTAGGTCATTTAGGCCTTCTAGCTATTACAGATTATCTTCTAAACAACTTTGACACCTCTCCAGAAAACTTAAAAAAGATTGGGAAAGATTACTTGATATTCAGGCTAACTTTTCCTTCATCTAGTTTAATTCCTAGCCTTTTCAGCTTCCTCTGTACCAGGAAATTTGACAGAGCACAGTAAAAATGGGAACTGTTAATGGCTCTCACCACCCACAGTACCACAGTAAAATACACTTGTCCAAGCTTGCGTCTGGCTCCCGAGACCTACCACCTATATTGTGGCCCCACACTACGCGTGCGTGCAATAGCATACAGCCCAAGCTCTGTGATACTCAGGCTGTTTGATACAGTCCTATTTACAGACCCGGCAGGCTTTCAGTTATCAACACTGGGTCCACACCAGTAGGTTCCTCCACCTCATTTGGTTTTACATCTAAGAGACTCGACCCTGGCACCAGGCTCAGGGACACTACAGAAATACAGCCTGAAGTGTAGCAGGATTTGCTGGTAATTCTGAATGTCACTCTTAGTTGATTTGCTGCTACTGATTTGGATTCTTCTAATCTTCTAGTATCGATTCCTCCAGGGCTTTCATCACTTTTTTACTTCTCCCCATAAATTTCCCTAGCTTGTAGGTATCTTTATGAAAGAGAGGAGTCTAGTGCTGTGCCTTGGCTAACTCTAGTCTCAGCCTATGAAACAAGGCTGGGGCCAGCTCACCACATTCTGCGAAACATGTCTCCCCAAGCAGCGCTCCTCAGAAACGTTCACATTATGAAAGAGGGTCCTTTAGGTTACAAAATCTGTTTGAGGTCAGGAAACGGCAGTGTTCAGATTCTCATGTTTCCCCTTATCCTGCCCCAAACAGTACACATTCTTGCAAGGACAAGCGAGTTTTCAGGTTGGTCATTGTGTAAAATGTGACCAGCTTGGGTCAGCGAGCAAATGCGTTTCAGTTGAATGTCACGGTATTCACACGCCTAATCTTCAGTATTGTGCCACGGTGAGAATACTAACAGTCAAATGGGACTGGGCTCAGACATTCACAGTTATGAGCAGATTTATCAAAACTGAACATCTCTTTTATCACCTCCTGCAGCTGCAGCACTCAGAAGTCAGGCAGAGGCAAAATCAGCAAGGAAATACCTTTCGGGGCAGTGTAATGCCAACCCAGGAGAAGCACTGAACCAAGTAATGGCTAGCTTTTAATGAAATTATTTAATTACATAACCTTTATTAACTTCTGTAGCTGCATAATTGCGTGATTAATCAAGTCTAATGCCTTCAGTCAGAAAATGTTTATCGGTGGGGCTCAGGGAGAATTCTTCTATCTTATACAGGGTAGTACAATTGGCTCAGAGCATAAAGGGGTTTTTGCTTTCCTCTGAAGCATCAAGTACTGACCACTGCCAGAGGCAAGACTGATGTCTGATTCAGTGTGGCAGTTTCTATGTAGCAAATGAGATTTCAAGGACAGACAGAAAAGGGATGCTGCAGTCTCATTTTCCAATATACAGTCCAAGCATATGTACATTTCTCTGTTGCTGAGCATGAGCGGAGCAGATTGAAGCATCAGTAATATAGAGCATTAAAAGGAAGAATGCAAAGACCCTTAGATAGCTTTAATTTAGGAAATGCATTTAGATAAAAGGAATAGTTTTGAAAGTTAATTGCATTTTGGTCTGCCATAAGACAGCTAATGACAAAACTTGCTTCTGACCTAACTCATCAGCTTCCTATCTTTGGAGCAAATATTAGATGTCAGCATTTAAGAGTCCTTCTTCAAACACCAGCATGATTTCAGTGATAGGCAGAGTTATCCCAGATATCCAGTCTCCTGACCTACAGGGGCAGAAACCTAACAAGAACACTTGCTGGGAGTCTACACGGGTCTGAAAATTTCCCATTGTGCAGCCAAACTAAACCCTAATAACACTTCTTTTTCTCCTGTACTCAGATATGCAGGCTGGGGGCCAAGTTAAACAGATACTTTTAAGCTTCTCTCTGTCTCCACTGACAACTTTAATACCTGGCAAATTAGAAGACAGAGCATCCATGGAATTGTCTGACACAAGTCAATAGAACTGAGCAACAAAAAGAAAAATACATAAATAAACAGTGAAGCCAAGTTGTGGTTCCATTGCTCATGCCAGGGAAGAATTTATCTACGGAGAAAGGGTGTATAGAAAGGGACAGCTGCCAAATGTATAGTATACAGAAGAAGTTTCCACTCACGTTTTTCTCTGGACAAAGAGGGAAAACTTAGATTGTGAAAGCAGAGCATGGTACATTTTTGTTGAAGTTCTCAGGGTTACTATTTATTTTAGAATTTCTGCTTTGCCACTCAACAGGTGTGGTTGCCCTGTGCAGGTCTAAGAGCACAGTAACATTAGCTTTAATCTATGGTCTCTGCCTTTGCATTTTAGAAGCCACAGAACCCAAGTTTATTCTGGATGTGCAAGACATGGTGGGCTGGCTCTTACAACTCAGGGGTCCTGAGTTCATTTCCCAGAGACAAGGCTGGAGATGCAAACATGCTGTGGAAAGCCACCGCAGCCCACTGAAATCAAGCCAACTACGAAGCAGCCAGTCTCCCATTGCAGCTGATTAGAGTTGCAGCTGTTTGTTATGTCTGAATTTGGCTGAACATCTCAGCTCCTGGCTTAAAACGACTGGCTTTACGAACTATGATATACAGATATCACCTACTCCACGCACTCCCCCAAGAAGAGAACTACAGGGATAGATAATTTAGAGATGGACCCTACAGGCTGTTCAGTGTGGTTGTGCACAGATCATAAACCGGTGTTCTGCTCCAGCCAATGCACCGCACGCTCATGACCTTTCCAGAATTAGCAAAAATTGTCAGTGAAGATACTGACACTAACTCTGTCAGCCAGACTGAGAATATCTGCAGCTTGTGGGAAAACTGAAGCTTTTGACATGTTCCAGATTCAGAGGCAAGATAACACAACTTCTAAAGTCATAGAGGCATAATCTAGCAGGACATATTTACCCTTTCATAGTTGAAAGGAGCTGGGCCTACTGTGTATTGCAGTTCTGTCATGCCAAGCATCAACTTGCTCTTAAGCCTGCAGCAGTTCTCTCTGCTGTACCATCACAAAAACATGACAGCACGCACAGTTGGTGTCTTGGATCTGCTACTTTTCCTATTCATGATTTTTCCTCCCCTTCCTCCAATTACTCTATCTGTCTCTTGGCTTTGTTTTGTTTCCTGGAGCAGGAACAGGCTTTGCTTTCTTTCTAAAAGCACCACACCGAATCCCTGATCCACTGTTGGGGACTGTAAGCACTGCAACACTACAAATAAAATAAGTGTAATGAATTAAACAATTATTTGATGAACTGTTGATTATTTGGATGTGGTTTAGGGTCATTAGAACGTAGCTTTATGCTCCTTTAAACATATATGAAACATACACACAAAGTGCTTGAGCACTGCCTGATTTGAAACTCTCCCAGGCACATTCATACGTCATTCTGAACTGAGACATGAGCAATGCCACAATCAGTCTGCGAGTGAGGCTTCTTCCAGAGAGACGCGTGTTAAAGGGTCCCTAAACAAAGTGGATGAGTTCAAATGCCATTCTCACATTGGGATCCTTTTGAGAACCAACCCTAAATTATCCAGGCCTCTTCCAATGAAGTCCTCAGATGGAAGAAACCAGGCTTAACAGAACATTATTTTTAAGGCAGTCTATGACAGAAAGTACCTTTTTTTTCCTCCACAATACTTGCTGTTCCTCAAGGTCACCTTGCGATACAAATCCTCTCCAGGGTTCTCCTACTTTTAACATTGAGGTTGCTCCATGTGATGCAAGTTGCTTCTCGCCCACTGCCTTCATCATCTATAATAAGAGAAGACAGCAGAAAATGAAAGCTGGCTCTCTTTAATAGCATCAGTTACAGGCCAGCAGTTGTAATGTTGAAAAGCGCTGCCCTGCAGTAGCGTACTGCTCAGTAATTTTAAAGGGCTAGAGAATACAAGAGAGATTTTGCCCTACGCTGCAAGAGTGCGTTCAACACACGCTCTTGCTTTCAGTATCATTTTAAATTGGAGTCTGTCACAGATTATTCATTATTTATTATACTTAAAGTCATAGCCTTCAGTTCTGCTTTCAGAAAAGTCAAATTTTTACTGACCTGTGTCAGAACAATGAGAGAGAATATTATTGTATGTATAGGACAGGTGCATTTATAACTAAGATATACATAGTGCACTGAAATGCAGTAAGCTAAAAAGACAGGGCAGCAGGGCTCCTGATTTATTCCTAAATCTACTTTTAAAACATCTATTTGAAATACCTAATTCAGTTCCCTTATCCAATCTGTAAAATGTCACTGTCTTACAGGATGCTGCAAAGGTAAATTGAAATGCTTTCTATACTTATTTTTTTTAAAAAATTACCATTAATTACACAAAGAGACAAAACCTTATGGAGACAGAGTCAATATATTATACTGTTTGTTCTCAACAGGCGGAGAGCTGTTAGCAAGAGCAAAGAATCCATATTGTCTGATCATGAGCGTGAGGCTGTCAAATACCAGCCAGCAGTACAGGTCGAAGAGGACACCATGGACTTCACACTGGAAGACTCTGTTCTCCTTCCGATGGATCCAAACCTGGAATGCCACAGCCCACCTCCAGATTACAACTCCGTCATTCACTACTCGGCCCCTCCAGTGTAATCAGCCCAACCTGACACAGGGCATCTTGCACCTCTCTTAACCATGCTAGATTCTTATGTGCCTCCATGCCTGGATAAAGAGGTTGGGTAAAAATGGAAGGGAAATCTGTCAGGACAATGGTTCATATGTTTCTTCTGGCACATCTCTGATGGGAATAGAAACATTTTAAGAGCATCTTCTTTGCTATCGTTAAAGGCCTGTTGCAACATATGCAGTAAATTAAAATTCTGTCTACCAGAACCGTTAAGCAGGAGCTGTAACCCAGAACTGCTTCCACTCCTCCCTTCCCCAGCGGGGGCTGTTCACTGGCCTTTGCAGATTTACAAGTTTTTTCGTCACATTTTAATCCATAAGAGTCACCAAGAGTCACGTCAAGCTAGTTGTGAAATCAAGATTCATTCTACTGATCCTGCACACGTCCTGCAGGGATTGTTTAGTACGATGCTGTAAGGGATCAGTTGAAAACAACAGCCATACACACTAATGTTTTGCTTTTGGAGAAAATCCAAAATTGAAACATCATTTTTAACTTGGGATCTCATCTCCTGTAAATATTTTTGAATTATTTTGAAATCAAAAATATTTTGGTTCCAATTTGTGATTTAATTATTTCCATTGCCTAGAGGATACACTCCTAAAAATGATATGGCACAGAGAAAGCAGACAGGCTCATGTATCTTTTGGGCCATCAGGACATACAACGTGTGTTGCCCTGTGTTTTCTCCGTGTTCAAACACCAATTTATTTAGCATACATGCAATAGGGAAACTTGATGGAGATGCATCTGGAATGATTGCAAGGCAAAATCACTGCCTTAGGTAAGAACCTTCTTAAGCTTAAAGAGACAGAATTTCCCAGCGCGCACCTTCGTTTGTGTGAACGTGCATAAAATACTCACTCCCAACACAAGAGTTACACAGAAATGCACATACACCCTTGAGGCACTGGCAGGGTAGCAACATTTCTATATTTCCTTTCTGCACACAGGCTATTTACTTAAAAAAAAAAAAAAAAAATTCCTTTGGATTCTGTGGCAGATGCCCAACAGTTTGATCCTGGGAATACCAGCCCACGCTAAACTGTAAGCATATGTGACACATACCTGTCTCTGACTGTCTTGCAAAGGTAATGGTATGATGTGCAATGCCCTCTGCATCTAAACCCTTCATGGGTTCCTGGTAATTCAAAGCTTGTTTTGCAGCCTAATCACGCAGGACTGAACGGATCACAAATTCTCACCTTTTAGAAATTCAAAGTGTGTTGTCCGTCACCCAAAAGCTGTGTGTGGCAGGGACTTTAGGTCTGCAAGTATGTATCCCCAGGTCCCATGCATACCCCATGCGTACTCACAACAACTTCAAAAATAAGCAAATAATCCTTCTCATTTAATGTGCCATGTAACAATCAGAGTTGACTTCAGAAATCTAGGAAAGCAAAAAGCATCTAGGTTGCAAGTAGAAAAAGCTTGAATGAGAAAGATGTTCATTGACAGTCAAGGCTAAAACCTCCTAAGTTACAAACCTAGATCTAGAAATGACTCTCTGTGCGGTTTCTTGCAAAGTCTGCACAACCCTTTTCTTTTCCTCTTAGACTTGACACCAATTTGACTTCTTCAGAGACAAAGAATTTTTCTCCCCAGTTACAAACTAAAGGCAAAAAAAAAAAAAAAAGCAACACTTGCAAAACAATTGCATTACCTTGGCAAAGACAGCCTAAACACCGTCGCAGCAGCGAAGAAAAAACTTCTGGATGATCAGTTAGTTGGTTACATTGAATTAAACACAAACAAGCCTCAGGTATTATCAAAGGGAGAAACAAATCTCCAAACCCCATCCACGTTAACTGTGAACGCTAATCCATCTGAAGGACGGGCTCTCGGGAACTGCACTTCTCCTTCTCCTTGACTTCAGATACAACGTAGTAAGGAAATCACCTGCAGTAACTCATGAGCCCCTTGTTCATAGTGGACCTGCTAGATGGCTGTGGTCTGTAGTCGCTTTATGGTCATTTTTGCACTTCTTTGTATTTTAGTACCTATGTATTAAGTAGAGCTCGTCATATAACAGAAGAAACTACTGGGAAAGAATTCATCTGATGAGCCCCAGAAAGCTCATTGGATCAGTCTTTCATCAAACAGTAAATTAACCATCTATAGCTCTGATCAAATAATCAATCACTTTTTTCGGAAATAATTTATTCACGTGGCAAAAAGAAAGAAAGGTGCAGACAGTTTGTCTGGCTCTACTGTTAATGGCATCAGTGCGAGATGGTTTCTTATTGTGCCTTGTTCTGTCGGGTAAGAAAATGATAATGTTTAAAAACCTTTGCTTATGAACTTTAAAATAAGTACAGAGAGGGGAAAAAAAAACCCCGCAAGTATGCTGTTTTGAAAAAGAATGGGAAACACTGCTGGCTGAACCGTCTGCTTCTAAGAGAGCTGAGTATATCAGCTTTCCACATGATCAAGGATGAACTGAAGAGGTTTCCCTGGGACCAGAGGAACACGAAGCACGTTTCCCGAGCGGGACCCCAGCGGACACTCCCACGGGTCCTTTCTGGCTCTCAACAGCAGGCATCAGCATTTTGGCATCGCTGATGTGAAAACAGAGCGCAGGCTCAAGTGCTCCAGATGCATTTTAAAGCACTGGTTGCATTGACAGCCCCCCCGAAAACTGAGGGCTCCTCCGCAGTGGTAAAATCAACAGCCGTCTTGAGCGGAATCGATGGCCGTTTCTTTAGAGAGCAAAGATACCCTCCGAACCTGCGACAGTGGCCTGCGAGTGTTCTGGAAATGGCAAGTGACTGATCTTTGGGCAGCTGTGTTTCCAATGTTTATTTTGAGTGATATTTTTTTTCCTCCTTATAGCAAATGTAACAAGCAAAAGTATTGCCTGAAAAGTATTATTGAATATATGTCTTCTATTTTATTTACTAATATTTTGTTTGTCCTCTTCTCTCCTCCCTTAATTTAATTATTGTTCTTTTCTTACAATGATGTATATAGTTTACCCAGTAGAAACAAATATAGTGATTCATTTATGTGGTAAAATTTGTAACATTTTAGTCAAAAGGGAAAGATATACCCAGACATAACAGAGTTAAGTATTGTTACTAAACACTTCACTAATGCTTGCAGGCCAGGCTCCAGTTTACAGTACCCTACTAGTGCCATTTCATAGCAATTCTCCTCTTGGCTGCGAGTATCTCTGGTCTCACTTCTTCTCCACGGTATTTACTTTCAGTTAGGAAACAGGGATCTGGAGGAATCTGGCAGGTTTATCTCATTCCTGAAAGTGTCACCATGCAGCTCATAGTAAAGGCAAGGAATTTCCACTGCCTCTGGTTTAACTGAAGGCTGGTGTATTGGCTAGAGGATCGGAAAGGGCCAAATTGTTTAAATGATGTGATGTTTATTATTTTTTCAGACTTCTCAGGGATTCTTACTCCACTCCTGTCAGCCTGCTGCTTTATCTAACCTGCCTGAGCTCAATGGTATCTGGTATTAACACGTATCTGTTTCCTCTAATGGTGCTTACTCCTACTGTTCTTGTCCTCCCGTAACCCCAGAGCATTAGGGCAAGGGAACTCAGTGCTCCCCACAGAGACGCGCTGTCTTCTCTCCAACAATCACCTGCCACGTCGCTGTCCAAGGATAAACTGCCTTCGCCTCCATGTCGCAGTTCACGCTGCTGTTTTTAACAGCCTCTGGTTTCCTATCTCCTCTTTTCTCTACTTTTCATCTATTTCTTGATATTTGTTCTTCACAGTCCCTTCGGATTGCTTTTCTCTGCCTTGTGAATAAGATCAGGTATAGGACTCATTTCCCTCTGCTATTTCCTGTATATCCACTCTTGCAGAGGCTGAACTAGATAATCTAAAGCAAGCTTTTTAAACCTTAAAAATTTTCCAATATAGGCAAGAGGAACTAGTTTATATTGGTTTGTGTGGAAGCCTCCCTGTATCCTTCCCTGAATGAGAGAAGCTTTTTAATCTATTGATTTTTCAGCATTTGGTATCTGGAGCAAAAAGTTAGTGACTCTGTATGTGAATCTCATCTTTCTCCTAGCCCTTCCTCAAACAGTGAGGTTTTCCTTAGGTTCTTCCAAGTTATCCTCACAAGAAGGGGGTCCTAACGAGGGTGCTGGGCCCACACCAGCTACTCAGGATATCAAGGAAGGTCAGATAAAACCCTAAAGTCTGAGTAATAGTCTCAAACAAAACCACTGACATTTGAACCCACTGAAAGCTGAAGATGTATACATTATGGGCTGCCTGCAGGCATGACCTGCTCTGCTTAAGATGTCCCACTAATGCAAACACCACTCTTCAGTTAGCCTGCTTGGGCTAACTGCTAGCCCAAGGCTAGCCTGCTTTATGCTCTTGTATACTGGAGGGATGTTCGTCAGTATGTAAGCCTGTAACTGGCCAGTCAACAGTTTATGACTGAACTTCTCAATGATCCTTCACGCTGAGCACTGCCTTGTCATGTCCTATCTTGCTTTATGATTTTGATCTGGCCCTGTTGCAGCTGGAAGGGTGTTGTCTTGGGTCAACGGTCTCTAGCTCCCACCAGCACCAACTGGACAACACCTGGAAATGTTTGCAGGGAAACATCACTAGCAAATAGCGACATTACAAGACAAAGCATTTTTGGGTTTTCCTGAACACAGGAGTTAGCCAGGATCAGTATCATACTCAGAAATCAGCCTATAATTTTTTCTTATTATAAAGTGAATGGAAATTACATAAGGTAGCAATAATTCTTTTGCCCCTCCCTGCAAATAGAAATGGCCAAACCCCAAGATCCATTTTCCTGTTTTTATACTATGCCACAAAAAAACCTAGAAAGTGTTTTGCCGAAGTAATGACGCCAGGTCCATCTTACGCAAGTAAAATTCAGGGAGGACTTCTGGATTTGACCCCATCGAGTCAGTCACTGTACAGGCTGTAAGTGCTGAGCCCAAGCACTGGCTGGTTTGTTTGACACGTTGTTTTCATAT